TATGTACTGGACAGACTGGCTGGGGCTGCAAACCTCTAACTTTGGGTTTCCAGCCCCGGGACAGCCAGCGCCCTGCGTCTGTTCCAGACCCCCAGTCTGTACCCTGCCAGTACAGGCTCCCAGGGCCCTGCAAGCGCTCTGCAAATTGAGACCTTCCAAATTAAACATTGCGGGTGCAAACAAATCAGCATTTTTGGAACTACATTTCGTTAGCTAATTTGTGACCAGCATAAACTTGGACCTCTTCCCACCAGATTGACTGGGTCAGACCTCAGTTCGATCGTTTCAGTGTTCTGAAAAATCTCATTAATTACCTGATTGGAAGTATTGATATTGAAAAGGAACATATCCTTCATGTAAATCCTTGGCATATTGTCCAAAAGCATTCCATAGAGAGGCATGTACAGGTTTGCTATTTGCGCCTGTTTTGCCTAAAAAAGAAAAGATACAACATAATGCTAAAGAAACTAATTAATGCATGCTAGTGGCTAAGGAAGTTTTATACATGTTTAGCTACTGTATGAACAAGCAAATGAAAAAGAATAACCAAACAGTTTCTTTACCGGCTCTGCGTATCGATCATCAAATGAATGCTTTGCCATTAAGTTTTTAAGCACAGCCAAAGCTAAGTGCCTGATATCCTGGTCTTCTTGCAAGGCAAAGCCGACCTCCCGCAGCAGGACTCCAATTAGAAAATGTTTACGACAAAATTCATTGGTCAGTGTGTACTCTGGAATATCTTGGAACAGAACAGACAAGAATGCTTAAATCAATATATAGGTTACCTAACACCACCCCCCATTTGCCAAATTTTCAATAACTTTCATTGATTGAATGCACTGTTAAACCTTAATTTCCTAATCTGACTGCCCCATTCTGCTCCCTCACCTGCTAGAATGAATTAATCTACTATCATTATTTCTCGAAATCATGCAGTTTTTACCATTCAATAATAAAAGACCATTTATATACACACTTCCATAAAAGAATCTCAGATGTTTTGCACATAAGACTATTCACTACTTTGAGGCACAGAATCCAAATTGTTGCCATATTCTAGAGTTCTAAACCACAAAGATCCAGACTAATTCTGCTTTTGAAAAAGGTGAATAACTTTTGCCTAAATTGGCCACAGTTCAGTGGCAGCAGTCAAAGTAAACCTTAAAGCTCTTGATGCACCATTCTGCTTTCTTCTTATGCACTTATTTTGTACATACCTGATGTTCGATATTCCTGTGTTGATTCTGAAGGCGTCACAGAGTCTTCATTTTTCATAAATATGAAACAAAAATAGGCAAAAAAAGCGGTTTTTTATTTAACTGTAAAAAACCCCAAAACTATTTGCTTTGTATCTTTTTTTTTTTCCCCACTAAATTTCACTCAAATTTGAATGAAACAGCTTCTATTGTTAAAGAAAGCTATGAGTGTCAGAACAGAACTCACGAACTCACGTTTTGGTGCTGAGAGCTGAAACAAAAAGGAGACAAGGGCCCACAGTTTGAGAGAAGCTGCGGAGAGATGATTCTGCCTTCCACTGCTTGATACCTTCCACTCTCAGCAACTTAAAGGACCACATCCCAAGTGAACTCCCCAGCGTTCACAGAAAACTGTCACAACTGGGAATTGTGCCCAGAGCTGAAATCCCAGTTCCTTTGAAACCAGAAGTACGCAGTACTGAGCATTGGCCACAAAGTTAGGTACGAAATCACAGATTTCAGTGCACGAGATGGAACGCACGGTGGCTGCTGGCTTTGGGGCATGAGCAGGGTGGATTCTCCCCTGCGGTAGAACACAGGCAAAACCTGTTCATCCTTCTCTGCAGAAGATGTGTTACACGCAGTATGCCCAGCCTTTGGAAGCAGCTCAGGAGGTATCACTAACAGATTCTGAAATGGGCCTCTCTCACCTCACTGCTCCAGGTAAAACACTGCAGAAGCCAAGAAAGTAAATGCACTTGGGAAAAAAGGGCTATTTTACACATGGGACCTGCCTGCCAGTCCCAGAGATACTCCGGAGGCAAAAGTACCAACAGCCTACTATCTGAGAGATGGATGTTTCTAAACTCCTGCTGCACGTCCAGTTCAGATGTTCCTCACGAAGGAGGGGCTGTCACACAG